TATATATATATATATATATGTATGAAAATTCATATGTTTAATAAACATGTATCATATTATTAAAATTAACAAATATTATGTTCATAAATGTAATAGGCTGAAAATCTATTTATTTTGTATTATCAAAGTTTGATATAACTGATAGATAATCATGTCTTTTAAATTCTAAATCCTAAATATGTTACTGAAGCATCTAAATTTAAATTTATGTGTATAGAAAAACACTTGTTAATTTAAAGATGTTAAATTTTAAATAAATCTTAGTACTTTAAAAGATTAATTCTTAACTTTGGATTAGAATATACGTAGCTTTTAAATTACATAAAATGAACATCGAAGTCATGGTTAAAGATGCAAGGTAATCTAATTTACTTGATTTCTTTCCTTGTGTACAAAAGCTTAAGAGAAGTCAATATTATAAGTTTTACATATTCAAATATTCACATATCAATACGATACATTAACTTCTATCTGTTCCTTCAATTCAAACACTACAAATGCCCTTTTATTTCTCTACGAATAAGCTTAAAAACTCGAATGCAAGTACCTATGTACCAGCCTACATGTAACTATTAAAGTCACAATTTTTCTTTTAATTATCAAATGATGTATCTGATTTTCCAACCAAAATGAAATTTATGTTTTGTAAAATAGTATTCAATGAACACGAAATGGTAAAAGTAAAATGAGAGAGAGAATAAACGACGATTGCCTTTATTTTGGTTAATTAAAAGAAAATGAAAAAAAAGGGAAACTTCATATTTCAATAAATATAAGAATTAAACAAAGGGGGCATTCCTTGACTTATATTTCAATAAATTTATTCTTGTTGAGATTAGATATAACCAACCAAATTCTCACGTAACTTGTATTGTTCATATATATATATATAAAGATAGAAGACTTCAAACAACACTGGTGTAACTTTTATCAACTATTATACTGCTTAATAACTTTATATTAAGTTTAAAAATTTTATCGATTTAAATTATAATTTCATACCACTTTGTATGTTTATGTCAAATTTTGTTAAAATTGAATAATAATTCGAAGATAATCAAAATATTCATATTTTTATATATTTTAAAATAAATATATTATGTTAATTTTAATCTATAAGAATGTGGTCTAAAATTATCTTTGATTAATAAATAATTTTGTATATATGATCTTAAAGTAAGAAACTTTTAATTTAACGATAAATTTTGAAAAATTCATATTTAATATAAAATTATTGGACAATGTAATAATTAGTAAAAAATTATATCAATGTCATTTAAATCCTATTCAATTTTATAATAATTAATCTAATTTTTAATAGTAATTGAGAAAATGTTTTATTTATATATTGATGTCACAATTTTTCTTTTAATTCATGACGATATGACCAACAGAACCACCCAGTTTTTTTATTTTTATATTTTTAATTCAAACTATGGAAAGCATTAGCAATTTCACCTTCGTTAAACCATTAAGACTCGAATGAGGAATTCAACATTTCAAACTTCAACTACTCTATTTCGTTATGAATCCAGTTCTCCGTGAAGCTTATTTTACCACGAATTGCGTTGCACGTTCCTTTAATTGCATGTACCATGAATCTCTTGGACCTATAAATTGAGTTTATAACCATTTAATAAAACAAGTCTCCAAATTAAGCACATCTAAAACAATCTACTCTATTATTTGTTTTGTTCAGTAAGAATGAATCCGAACTCTCAACATTCTATGTAATTGTTACTAAAATAATAATAATAATAATAATAATAATAATAATAATAATAAAATAAAAATAGAGTAGATTGTTTTTATTATTATTATTATTATTAGTATTATTATTATTATAGACAATTTATTGTAATTTTAATTCTTTATTTATGGTAATCTTAAGAGTGTGTTTGATAAGATATTTGAAGAATTTATATGCTTTTTGGATTATTTTGTAAGTTAGTTTGAGGGTTCTTTACCTTTCTTTTTGATTGTCTATATGTGTGACATTGTTTTCCAAATTGGGTTGATTCTGTGTTCTTGTTTCATGAATCTCCAACCTCTACAAGTATGACATTATTTTCCAAATTTTTCCCTAATATGGTTGTTGTTTGCATGGTTTGTTTTCCTCAGACTCAATCCATTTGTCTCATAAGATATGAACATAGTTTTTGTATTTATTATTCGATGTGTGCCTTTAATTGTCTTAACTCAAAATGGCAGGGCCTCTTGAGTTTTGAGGCAAGGTTTTTCAATTTAGTTCCTAGATAAAATATAAACCAATTCTAATATGATAATTGTAAACAAACATAAAATCAAACATTTTGGTGTCACATTCTATCAAGACACAACATAACGCATGACCAAGGTCTCAAGCTTCATCAACAACATCATCCTACTAATGATCTTCTCAACTATTAAGGATGAAAGTAGGTCATGTTAGACTTTAAATATATAGGTCAGTCATATATATTCTATGAAATTAAGGAGGGTGTATTGGTTTAAGATTTCGTAAGATTTTAAAAGACTTCTTTTTACTAAAAAAGTTCATTGGTATTCAATTAAGATTTTATGTCACTTAAAAACAATTCAGTGGTATTCTATCAGGATTTTCAAGATTTTTTAAAAAGTCCATTAAAATCTATTGGTATTCATTTGAGACTTTTTACAACTTAAAAACAATTCATTGGTATTCAAAAAATATAGGGATTTTAAAGGATTGTTGTATTAGAGAGATTTTGAAGGATTTTTTAGTGGTATTTATAAATACCAAATTCATAAAACAATCCTGTGACACTCTCTACCCCATCATTAATACACAATAAATGTAAATAATAATTTTTTTTTCTTTTTGAGTAAATAAAATCTTTCATAGTTTGATAAAATAATTGCTTCAAATATCAAAAGGTAGAAGATTCACATTCGTAACTCATAAATAATAGAAAGTCATCATGTAAATATCAAAATTCAAGAAAACACATAAAGGAAATTATAGATTAATTCCAGGAAAGGTGGCAGTGTCTCCTAGTTAGGAATTAATTTATAACTTTCAAGTCATGTAATAAAAATAATATGACATAGATGCATATTTTGGTCTTTTATAAAGGGTGTTCAAAACTACAAAAGAAAGATTATAACTTTATTTATATTATTTCTTCGCTAGAAATTACAAAAGAAAACAAACTAAAGTTATTAACACAATAACATATTAGACTAAACTAGTTAAGCCCCGATGTCACATCCTATCAGAGCATGCCCAACTGAAGCATTAAGCCTCATCACCAACAACCTCATGATGCTGATCACCTGCAACATAATTTAAACATATACAAAAATAACAAGGGAGTGAGAAACTTCTCACTCAGTTTTAGGTGAAGAAATAAAGGTTAGATAACACACACACGCACAACAAATATAAGTCACATGTAAACAATACACATAAATAATCAAATATCACATATATATTCATTTATCATGCTATGCTGTCATGAACTCAACTCATACATGCATGCATGTGGCGCCATAAGGAAGTTTCACAATTCATCACTGGTGACCCTAAGGCACACCTGTACAACTGTCGGTGACCTTAAGAAAAAGTCTTTTAAAATCCTAATCCAATACACCCCCTAAGTTTGTTAGATATGAAATTTATTTTAGGAACTTATTAGTTATTTCCATAAGCTAATTAAAGTTAATAATAGTTTAGAAGCTCTTTAATTTTTATATAACATTAATTTACTTCTCTGTTATATCTTTTTTAATTTAGAAATTATTTTATTTTACATTTTATTTTCACACTCCACTTTCAAATGAACAAATATGTAATTTTACATTTCAACTAATATATTAACTAATCTTATTAAACATTTTCAATTCAATTGATTATTTTATAGGTTTCTAGTTTTTCAACTCATAACTTATAGTTTATGAACTTTCAATTAACTTATAAGCTTATTTTAGCAAATAAATCCCAATTCCTATAATTGATTTAAGCATCAATAGTACTTTTTATACGGTAAATATTTCATTAATTTATTATCTTTTATAATATATAACTACTCCTTTTTTTGTTTTCTTAAAAAAAAAAATAGTTTGACTTTTATATCTTCATTTTGTATAATAACTTGTAAAATATTACTTGAACTTGAAGCTTTTTTCATGTGAATTTTTCTTATGAATTCTTAACGCAATTATTTTCTTATGTGTTTTTGGCAAATTGTTTTTACAAGAAAATTTCTACAATTTTTTTAATGATTTTAGTAAAATATGATTATTTTCTCAAATTTATTGAAAATTCCATTAAAAAATTATTTTCTCTTGTCGTTGTCTCTGCAAGTACCGCACATCATTGTTACTCCTCTTAACAAAATCATCAATCTAATAAAATGACTTCCTTTGCAAGTGTGACACAAGTGACTATGTTGACTCATTTTTACTAGTTAAGACTGTGAATCGAATCTAGCTTCTCTTATTCTTTATATTCTTCCACGCAGACATATGCATGAGGATGAAGTAGATGATTTATAACCTCATAGGAATTTATCAAAAAAGTTAGCGGTTGATTTTAGCCTAACATAAAGTCATGCTTTGCCC